AAAAAAATCCTGAAAAATCTCTCCAGGAAAAAAAAAAAAAATTAAATCCAAAGCTAATAAGTAGCTTTCTGTCTTTAATTGCTGTGGTGCAATGCTGATAACATGTAGTTATCATCGGAAAAGTTGACCAAGACAGGTTAAATAATTTAATAAGGAACTGCTTGTAATTATGTTATTTACAAGGTATGACAGAGGCTTGAGGAAGAAACAGAAGCTGATCTCAGGGAAACGGACGGGTTTGGGTGACCCCTGGAGCATGGAGTTTGAATTATGGAGATGGGGGGCTGAGAGGTGAATATGGACTAGAGCAGAACAAGATGACTTTTCACCTCAGCACATTTAACTTTTAAATCCAAATAAACGTCTCGCATTACTAGACCACGGCATTATAAAAGAAAAGGACTAATCACGTTCAGTTTTGAGGGGCCTGGAAAGAGGACTGCCCTTTTTTCACCGAGGAAAAATTATGACAAAAAAGTTACAAATGGAGAAAAGGCGCTATTAAAAATAAATCTGGTCCACCTGATGGGTTTTTTTTTCTTTCATCTCCCCTTTGCTGAATTAATTATATCAAACATATATTCACATGACATTGTACCTAGCGATACATACACTATTTAACAATACATAAGCTGCTCGGGATAGCAACAATGAATCTATTTCACTTTAAAAAATATTTTCCAGTGATAGGTATCTTAATTACTCGGACAGGTAAATTAGAAGAAAAATAGATGCAGTCTGCCAATTTAATATCCCCCTCCCCACCCCATCCCACCCCCAAGCAAGGGCAAAATACAAACTTAGTTACTTGACTGTTAAGAAAAGCTTAAACTTTCTCACCTGTTTGGTCATTGAATCTATTAGACGAACGTACAAATCCTGTTCTGTTCTAACTCCTGGTGAGGGGGGAAGCAGAGACAAATTCTTATTAGAATTTCAATAGCGAACCACCCAAATTACATAATGAAAACATGAGGTCAGTCAATTAAGTGCTATATACAATATATCAACACTCACGTCAGTCTTAAAAATAAAAAAAAAGTCAGAAATAATATATCGACAGAGTTATTGTCAACTAATGAATGCAGCACTGTGAGGTTTGTATCCGAGAAAACCCCAGACACTCTCCTGAGTGGGACAGCGTGCGTGTGCCTCATTATCGCATTCTGCGGGATATACGGTCATCATTTCCAGGGAAACACTAGAGATAAACGATCGTTTCGGCTCTCTGATTGATAAGCATTGTTATCTTTCTGCACGCTTTTCTGATATTTAAGGAATCTGCTTCGCTTGGGTTAAGGATCTATTATGCCTGCTCCGTGCAGTTACCCCATCACAATAATTAACATTAATTTGCAAAACTGAAAAAAGTCACTTAAAAGTGATGTTCTGTTGGAGCAGGTATCGATCCCCTTTTTTACTTTCCACTTCAAGACCAACCGGTTAATCATGTGAAGTACCATTGACTTATTGATCGTTTATGTTTTGTTTTCCTTATATGCCAAGAAAAGAGTCGTGTTTACATGCATGTAATTTTAATCTCAAAATCTTTATATCCCTTTAAAAAAGGCCTTGAAAAAGAAAGTAACACTTTTTTTTGTGGCACATACACGTTCAAAAATGAGATAACAACAACTTACCATTGCTATACAATAACTGAAGTTTATAATGAATTCCATTGTTAGTTTTTTCATTGTTTGGCTCCTGCAAGTAACGATAAATAATTATATTTAGTACGAAAAATATCTCTCTCCTCCTGACGGTTTTTTTTTCATCCCTGAAGCAGCTCAGAATTACAGTTTGCAGAAATTCAGTCCTAAGTCACTTTGTGGAGCACTGATGATGTCATGATCTTGGTGCAAATATGTCATGTTTAGCCTTTTCCCTGCGTTACAACAAGTCGGGTACGCAGAGATAAGTTTCTAAACATTGGGATCTATTCTTAGCGGCCAAGCGCCGCTGTAATAACAGGGGAAACTGCACGTGGTCTGGACGCCTCTGGAGTACCGTTAGAGCTCGCTGTGCTTAACTCAAAGTGAAAATTATCTTTCATCAATTAAATCATACTTAAAGGTTAAAAAAAAAATACAGACTTACTTTCTCTTTCTCCACAAAGTCCACAAAAGCTGTTCTTTCAATCTCCACTGGCTGCCCCTGCCTGTCGTACAGAGCTAAGACGAAGTGGAAAAAATTGGATTTTCTGAGATTGGAAGGCGGCTGTTTCTCGAAATGTGCCCGAGCCAGCCCCACACCGCT